TTCATCGCCAGTTATCAGGCAAATTATGGTGTTCCATACGATTACAGTATGTTTCTTTATCCTGGCTCTTGTTTACCCAATCAGATTCTTAAGATTTTCTTTTTTCTCGATTTTTTTTTCACCCATGACAAGTGGGTTGAACTAAAAATCATAGTGCTGTTTTTCTTCGTGTAGGCTTGGCGGTATTCCAACGAAGCGTCGATTTTGCACATAGACATTCTAACCCATCAACTTGGCACAAAGGAAATGGTTCACCCACAGGGCACGTAAAACTTTGGGTATCCCAGCAAGCTCCATCTCACCCGCTCCCCTACCTGAACGGTACTTCTACGAAAAAAAAAACTGGGGAAATTTCCCGGAGAGTAATAGGAAGTTGAGGAGTATTTAGAAAAGTAGTAAGTTAGGAGTGAGGTTAGGAAGGGAAGTCGTACTTGAAGGAGGAGCTGGGGAGGGGGGGGGTGTTTTGCAAAAGTTTTCTCTGTTCCCCCACCTTAACCCTTCCCGCTCCCTATGCTCAGGCAAAAATCCTTATACCCTGTTCATTATCTTTCTTCCTCACCCTCCAGCATCCGCTATCAAGGTATGCCAGTTTACAAGAATTGGAGCTCCGTAGTTTTATTCCTTTTTTTCACCATTCTTTTGAGTTGACATATTGACTTTTTTGCGTGTGTAGACCAAGTTGAAAGGCGGCTTGGGGGGAGGGGCACCAACTGGTACTTGAGGAAGCTGGTTTAAGTCACCTTGTGAACACCTGTGAGTTGTCGTAACCACAACAGGTGCACTCGTACCATTTCGCAGCTTCGCAGTAGTTAAGTGGTCTCACCGAGTAATTAACCCAAGCTAGCAAAAGAAACTAGCGAAAGTGCAAAATGTCCCTCTCAAGCCGAGCAGCACCGGTTGCAACATTAATCTTCTCCTGTTAAGGTAAACTAGATGAGGAAAGAAAAGCCGCTGAAGCAGAGCGAGCAAAGAATAATAAATCTGCTGAGAAAAAAGAAAAGAAGCCAAAGGATCCCGCGGAGACCCAAGGTGAGCTTTTTCTTCCACCTTTGGAAATGTTGTATGATAGCTGTATGAGCGTCAATTTGTTGAGGCTGGGTTGACATGGAAGAGAAGGTCCATGCTGTCTATGTGAATAATCTTCCCACTGACATAACTATGGATGAATTCAAAGTAAGTTATTATTCTTCCACCATTCGTGTTTCTGTTTGGGTGATCCACTGCTCACAATAACGCACTATATTTCCTTGCTAGCAGAAAAAGGTTGGGGAGAAGGCAAGCAGCGGTACGATTGCGCTGCGTCATGTCTTTTATTGTCATGTTTTGAAGCCTCAGAGACTTGATATATGTGCTACTCTTTTGTTCGCTAATAGAAGGTGCAGAAGGCAGAAGTGACGTAGCACAGCCACGCCGCTGTTCGCTCCATCCAACCTTTTCCTCAGAAGGGCTGGGGAGGGAGCTTTGCATTGATGCTGCACATTCCTAACCGTGACTTGCTCAGGAGTTCATGTCAAAGTGTGGTGTTATTCAACCGGATGCACGCACAAATAAGCCCAAGTTGAAGCTGTATGTTGATGAACAAGGTCAACTCAAAAGGTGACGGAAGATGCTGCTACATTAAGAAGGTTTGTACGATTTCGTTCCCGTCTCATGTGTTAGTCTTTCGCAACGGAAGCGAGGGGTCCAATAGGGTAACACAAGAATGCTGGTATTGTTAGAACGCTTTGCCTCAGCCAGGACTCGGCCCTCAAATTTGTGGCTACTTGCTCCACTGGACCAGGACTGTTTTTACTCGTAACTTGGTTTATTGTAGTAACCATCTTGGTGATGCAATGAACAGGGTTATCATAATAAGCAAGCCAATAAGATACGACTGACAAATGTGTACCTGGGGGAGGCACTTCGTTAATTAGCGAATTTCTTCAATTTTCTCTCCTTAATGAGTTGCCAACCCTTTCGAAGCATCAGAAGGTATGGGCTGCTTTATGCTTGGCTTATTAGGTTTACCGGACTTTACAGGTCTCCATGTGGGTGCGAACTGATAAGATGCCCTCCCCCCTCT